ACCGTTGATTAGCGTAGGGTCGTAAACTTGTCATAAATATGTCGCCAGGTAAAATTATAGATTTGAAGAAAAACCTCAAAATCGATACCCAATAATTTTTTCGGGTATATTTGTGAAAATCAGGATTTTGACTTGCTTTACGATCCCGATATCAGGATTCGGGTTGAGGCATGAAAATCGAGATGATACCGCCAAAATTGGGATAGTTGGCAGGTCTGTGATTTATTGCATTATTTAGACTGTTTTAACCAACATCAATTATTTGGGTTTGTTGGAATCAATTTTCCCATGGACATTTAAGACATCTGCCTCATATCTTGATTTACATCTAGAAATTGACAATGAGGGTCGGTTGAAAACAAAACTTTACGACAAAAGAGATGATTTCAGCTTCCCAATTGTGAACTTTCCATTTCTATGTAGCAACATTCCAGCAGCGCCTGCATACGGAGTATATATCTCCCAATTGATACAATATTCCCGGGCTTGTGTTTCCTATCATGATTTCCTTGATAGAGGATTGCTGCTCACAAGGAAGCTATTAAACCAAGAGTTCCAAATGGTGAAGTTGAAGTCATCCCTTCGTAAATTTTACGGACGCCATCACCAGTTGGTTGACCGTTATGGAATAACCGTTTCACAGATGATATCGGATATGTTCCTTATGTCGTAACTACAATACCCTTCCCTTTTTCACGAATGTGACTTACCGAATTAGACTATTTACCGGATTTGTAATAACATAAGCAACTCGACTGGTGCCACATGTGGAGCAGGATCTGCTTACCCTTCCGGAGCACCTGAGATCACCCCCAGTTTTTGGTGGGGTTCGTGTTGCTTAGTCTTTAGTTTTCTATGTTGTGTCATCTGTACTATTATTTGTCTGTTTGTCTTTTTATTTTTGGCCATGACGTTGTCAGTTTGTTTTCGATCTATGAGTTTGACTGTCCCTCTGGTATCTTTCGTCCCTCTTTTAAGGGGGATAATTCAAATAGCCAAATTTGATAAAGGAATTTAAAGAAATTCAGATTTTTTTACTTGTAGCAAGAAAATAAGTTCTGTGACACCATCTTTTCTTTTTATTTTCTTAAGCATATTTTAAAACTTATCTTCTCATATTTATTTTAAAATTCTATCTCCTAGATTTCTTTGTATACACAAAAAAGGTGTTTTTGGTTGTCCTTACTTATTATTATATTTTAGAAAAAATCATGGTAATATCTATATTTTGGCAAAGTAATTTCTACCTGAGGAAATATATACCAATGATTCACTTTAACTCATCAGATCGATACAAAGCACATAAAAACTATAACAAAAGCACAGGAGACACAAAGTACAGATCTGAGAGTACAATGGAGTACCCACAGTTTCTGTTAGCTAGTTCGAAGCAAATAACAATATAAAAAATCATGTGTTTCAGTCTTAAAAATCAATTAGTACATACACATCTAACATCCAATCCATGGATTAAGTGTTTTCAAAACATTAACAGTCGAAGGAGAACATGACCTTGTGCAGTTCCACAATATAGTTATCGACCTATTGTAGAAAGGATGTTCACAGTACAGCATGAACAGCCCTTCACCATGTTTACTCTGTTCTGACAGTATCTCATTCATGTGACCTTGTTTAAAAGTGTCCCATTAATAATGTATAGTTTAGGTTTATCTTTTAATACAGTCAACAAAATATGAATGAAAGATTTAGAGTGATTGAACAAACATGTAGGTTACAAGAGTGCAATTATTAGTAATGCATTTTCCATAGGGTACCAGTGGTGTTCCATTTTTTTTTGTCCATAGACTACACAAACTAGGGGAAAACGGCTAGCAGTTCCTGTTACTAGAAATGCCAGTGTTGCATTACAACCCAAAAAATATATGTGGTCATGCGGCAAAAATTGACTTAAAATGCAGTTGAAAAAGATCTTCTATTTTTTTTGCTTTTAACGAAAAAGGCATATTTTTTATGGCTCCATAGTGCAGAAATGGAAGATATTTTCTATACTTTGTAAAATGTGAATATGATTTTCTGCATTTTTTAAACCTGATTGGATAAGCTTTCGATTAAAAGTAATTCCAATCCTGTATCATCCAATCAAAAGCCGTAAAATGTAAACAAATAATTGCGCTCTTGTAGCCTGTAATTTTAAGGAAATAAAGCTGGGTAGACATAAGTTGTCTACCCACCTAAGACAGGTACAAAAAGCAAACTCCACATGATCTTTGGTGCCTATCTTGTGTACTAATTGGTAAAGTTGAAGTCATCCCCTTGAAAAGATTTCTGCCTCCATCACCAGTTAGAATATTGGTTTTACAGATGATGACTTAAATGTTGCAGTTGTTGTATAAACCACAATTCCATTTTCTTTTCTTCAAATACAGCATCACAATTAAAATCAGACTTATAACCAAATTGGTAAATCCAATGTGTACATGAACAACATGATGGGTGCCACATGTGAGGCAGGATCTGCTTACGCTTCAGAACACCTGAGATCACCCCTGATTGTTTTGGGAATCATGTTGCTCAGTCTTATTATATAATATAGTATAATTCTGATATTTAAAATATACATGTAAAAAAAATTACTTGAATATGTTTCTGTAATGGAAACATCACTATAAATTAGTCAGAATTTCCTCTTGCATGTACTTTTAATGAGATATCTGACAACCAATTAGAAAATCGTCCATAGACATTGGACATTTAAAAATATACCCTATGACCATAATCATGATAATGACACTGCCAAACATTTATAACAGTTGAGATTAAGGTCTTAATCAGTCAGTTTAACATGTTTAAATGGAGTCTGTTGATCACCGTGTATCATCGGTACAGCGGATTTTAGTACTAACCAAGTGGGTGTGATCGATTTTGACCTGACACGGTAAGAAAATCTGTTTTGCTTACATAATATCAATGTGTACTTTAATCTAAACATAATTGTTGTTTTAAGAAATGATTTGGTCGTAGGTTGATGATTAGAGAAGTCTCATTATTTTCCCAAAACAAGAACGCTTACTAAAAACATGTGCAAATTCTTGTCACAGAAGTTGGCACTCGTCTCATCCGATATGATTCTATATTCATTGCAACTCTTTTTCTGATAGAAGGCCACTGTGTGTGCGTAATAAGTATAGCTGTTTCAATAATTGGCATTGAAATCTTTCATACATATGATATTTTTCGATATTTTATTCCGAAAAGAAGCATTTTGTACGGTGTATAACTAACCACATAAATCCTTCTGTATGGTGCATAGTTAAGTGAATGTACGGTATATAGCTTTTCACACTTGTTTATTACCCAAAATGTTTCATGGAATGAGTTATCACAGGTAGGTTTATGATTGGTTACTATAATTACTTTTGCCCTGTATTAGCTTTCATTCAGATAAAACACGTAAATGGCTCGACAACTGTATCGAAATTAAAAGTTGGTGTTGACATTCACAACTATTTGCGCATGCAAAAGTTTATTAATCTTATTAGAATATAAAAGTTGTCTTATAAATAGGAAAAAATCGATGGGAAAATTATTTGGGAGCAGGAATTTCAGATGTTGAGAAATGTACACTGAATGTAGATAAAACAAAACAAAGATTTTCTTACCCATGTCAGGTAAAAATCTATCACGCCCTGCTTGGTTAGTACCTATATCCGCTGTACCGATCATACATGGTGTTGATATTGAGAAACACTGGGCTATTTAGTTCAAGCATACCTATTAAATTTAACATTTGTGAACAATGGCATTGGTAGAATTTTAGATTGTAAGCAAGAATTATCTTAAAAAGTTATTAATTAATTAATTCAAGGCGATTAAAAATTAAATGTTGGTTTCCCCTAACATGCCTAACACGAGAAAATATTAAATAGATGGCAGGCAGATTTTTTTTTAATTCTTTTTATATGCCCGTTTATGGGACGTATTATGGTATACCGTTGTCCGTCCGTCTGTCTGTAGTCAACATGTAGGACATTAACTCAAAAATGCTGTAACCAATTTGCATAAAACTTTGGAGAATTGTTTATATCTATTATGTGAGCTCTCTTTCGCTTTTTATAAAATTTAGATTTTACGCTTCCGAGTTATGGGGTTTTATTCATTAAAAAAAGGGGGATTTTCCAGTTTTCGGACAATAAGTCAAGAATGCTTTCACCAACTTGCAAGAAATTGTGGTGAATTGTTTATATCTATTGACATGAGCTCCCTTTCGATTTTTATAAATTTTAGATTTTACGTTTCCGAGTTACAGGGTTTTGTTCATAAAAAAAGAGGGGATTTTCCAGTTTTCGGACAAAAACTCAAAAATTCTTTCAGCAATTCTTATGAAACTTTGGTGAATTGTTTGTATGTATTGATGTAAGCTCCCTTTAGAATTTTATAAATTTTACAATTTACATTTCTGAGTTATGGGGTTTTATTCATTAAAAAAAGGGGTGATTTTCCAGTTTTCCGACAATAACTCAAAAATGCTGTCACCAATTCTCATGAAACTTTGGTGAATTGTTTATATCTATTGATGTAAGCTCTCTTTTTTATTTTCATAAATTTCTAATATGAAATTGGGAATTAATTGAACTTTATTTGTTTATAGTCTGACAACAGATTTACTAAGTATTGTACAACAGCAAGAAATCTTTAATTGAATATAAATTCAATTCATATAATCAATTTCAAGTTCTTTGACTACATTTATTCAGAAACTTATAATATGTCAAATATTTAATTACAATCCAAAGTCAGACCTGAATTATTTTTTATATTTTGGAAGAAATCAAACATGGTACATGCACAAATGATGCAGTTTCACTCTACCGAGATTTTTTTTGAGACTGACAGGAAATTAATGAAAATATATAAGTATTAACCCTGACCAACAATATACATGTAGTGCAATATACTTAGTATATGAATAGCCTCTTTAAGCATGTTAAGTTTTTCACTATTTATCAGGTAATTGAATATTTATATTATTTATATTGTAGACAAAGAAAGTTTTGTGTGTCCTTCTGCAACATAACATTTGTGATTACACAACAGATAGTAAAGGAACTCTAGAATATTTGATAGATTCTGAAATTGTATTAAGGAGAATTAGATTTCCTAATTATATATACTGTGCAAAGACATTATACGGGGATGCTGCTGAACTTGTGGCGGAGGAGATTTTACAGAATGGACAGATGTTAATGACACAAGTTGTAAAAAATGTTACTAATAAATTAAATGAAGCCCTAACTAATGCTGGTAGGTACTCTGTGGATAATGGTTTTCTAAACATTATAAAATAATTCATTTTCATGATAATGGTTTATTAAAGAAAAAACTCATTTTTAATCGAAGTAGAGCAGTTTATTCAAAAGTTATAAGTGTATAACCTGCTACCTGTTAATTGGAATGATTATGATGATTGATTGGTTTTTAAGTCCAGTGGAAAATATTTCATTCATATCAGGTTGATAACATAATGGGATATGAATACGAAAATTGTTCAATTCTTCAAACAATTCACAATTTTCTTTTGTTTTTAGTCCCCTACAGACGAAGTCAAAGGGGACTTTAGGTTTGCACTCTGTCTGCCTGTCCATCCGTCAGTCCCGCAAATCAGTTTTCCACACTTTTGATATTTGGTATATTGTTTTATCATGACAAGTTACAGATCAAGTTCGAATTTTGTTCCGGTCTAATGATTTTGTGCAGAGTTATGGTCCTTTGACTTAGAAAATTCACTAAAATAATCAGTTTTCCACACTTTTTTTCTTCATTCTAGAAGATATTGATTTGATAATTGGTATATAGTTTTATCATGACAAGTTACAGCTCAAGATGGAATTTTGTTCTGGTCTGATGATTTTGTGCAGAGTTTTTGTCCTTGGACTTAGAAAATTCACTTTAAATAATCGTTTTCAACATCTTTTTCGTCATGCTTGAAGATATTGACTTGATATTTGTTACATGTATATAGTTTACACCATGATAAGTTATAGATCAAGTTAGAATTTTGTTCCAATACAATGAATTTTTAACCCGTAGGGGACTATGTATTGCCATGCAATACTCATGGAATGCTTGTTTTTTGTGGAAATTTTAACTTAAATCTTTTCATGTATTTGTTGAAAATAATCCTTTTCATGCTTTTCATGTTCATGACGAGAGATGAACCTATCAAGCAAAAATAGAAGGATGATAAAAGATTTGTTTAAGCTGACTATGCGGTATGGGCTTTGCTTCTTGTTGAAGGCTGTACAGTGACCTATAGTTATTAATTTCTGTGTCATTTGGTGTCTTGTGGAGAGTTGTCTCATTGGCAATTATACCACATTTTCTTTTTTATATTGATGCATTTAACTAAAATACATTGTTCATTGTATACATTATAGGTCATCCAGAAATAGCCAGCTCATTTGTACAGGAAAAGTTTAACTGTCTGGTCAATACACATTTCTTGCAGCGATGTAAAAATAGAACAAATACTAGCAATGGTGAAGATACTGCTGACGATTTATACAAAATACCTATCACAGGTTTGTGTAGACATTACTCTCCAGTAATATCTGTCACGTTTCCGAAGGCTTTTTTAAATAATTGTTTCCTGAAACTTTTCCTATGATAAATCCTTCTGTAAGTGATAAGCCTGATAACTTACTCATGAAATTCCTAAAAAACTTGATTTTTGTCCTTTTTGGAAGTCTGATAACTTAGAGAGGGTCTATTCCATGAAAGAAAAATTAAGATGAAAAAGCATGTAATAAGAGATAAGCCATATATTCATTGATTTTGATTCAAAAAGGCTGGTTTTTTTTAAGGTTCTTTTGATATTTAAACTGTTTTAAGAGACAAACAAGTAGAATAAGTTCAACTTACTCTGTCTTTTGAAACCTTTTCTGTTTACAATATAGTTAAAGGTTATCAAATTTAAAATGGTACGAATGTATGTCTTATAAAAAATCCAGTTTGCAATACTTTAAAATTTATGTGTATTTGCTGTAATAATGTAATTGTTGTGTATTTGCTGTAATAATGTAATTGTTGTGTATTTGCTGTAATAATGTAATTGTTGTGTATTTGCTGTAATAATTTAATTGTTGTGTAATTGCTGTAATAATGTAATTGTTGTGTATTTGCTGTAATAATGTAATTGTTTCATTGATGTATTTTGTGTAGGTAGTAGAAAAAGAAAACACTCTACAGACAATAATCCAGTATCAATGAAAAAAAGAAGAATTCTCGATTCACCAGAAAAAGAGGTAATTTTATTGTCTGAATGATAAGTTGTATAGAGTGCAGTTATGTCCAGTTTTTTTGTTCATACAATTAGTCCAAGCATTTAATTAGCTAATCATCAAACGAACAGACTTATATAATGCCCACATTTACTGGTAAGTGGTAAAAGTCATATGAGTATTTGAAAGGAAAAGGCATTTTTTTTTAAATTTATAAAATGAGATACACAAAATGGCAATTATGACTCTAGAGAAGTTATTCAACTACATGTATGTAAAAAAAACTATGAAGTCTGAAAAATGTAAAGGAAAATGTAAACCTTATGTGTTTCTTAACAAGAAACAGGTTGTTGATATATGTCATGTATGTATTGTGCTTCGAAAAGAGTCACAGACACACAGTTTAAGGTGGTACATAACACTACAGGGAGATAACTCTGTAAAAATCAGCTCAACGTTTTAATCACATTCTATTGTTAAGAAATATTAAGCTTCTCAATGATCAAAATTAGTGTTTGTCAAATTGCTATATATCCAACCAATTTTTTCCTATAATGTGTCTGGTTCAAGTTTTTTGAAATTTTTATATTTTTGTCAATAGGTCAAAGTAAATATTTTGTCAAAATTTTATGAAAATTAAACGAGTCGAATTAATTTTAGTCAAGGTGTTTGGTACCACATTAATGATCAAGATAAAAATGATAATGAAATACACAAAACGATGAATACAAATATCTTAATCAATTAACATGTGAATTTATAAATAAAAGTAGAAATAAGGTATTTATCATTGAAACAGAAACGGTCAAACCCAACAAATAGATTTTAGTCAAGAGTCAATGTCCAGTGTGCTTAATTCTTGAGAAAAAAACCATTCTTCAATATGTTATTCAAACTGTAATTTTACTTGTATTTGAGAAAAATTGTAAATAGTAGGTACATTACTCCAATCACAAAAATTCTTAGGGTTTTTATGGTATGGTATTTTGTTTTAGGGGGAAGGGGGTCTTAGTTGGGTTTTTTTCCAAATTAATATTTAAAATCAAAATCTTTTGTAGTATAATCTTAAAAGTGAACCTTCTTTTTTTAGTGAAATTGAATAAAATTTAAAAAAATAGATAAAGTAATGATTGTCCTGTGGTCATAAGTTGGTTTGCCTTGAAAAGTTCTATCTGCGAAGAAAATTGTACATTTATTTGTACAGAAAATATGATATGTATTCTCAGTTTTCATATTTCTGCAATCAAGGAACCTGATGATGCTGGAATCTACTGGAAAGTTAACTTTGATAGGTTCCATCAATACATGAGAGATCAACTAATGATTACCGCTATAGCCAGTAAGATAGATAAGGTAAGTAACAGTCATGCTTTTGAAGTTACATTTCATCGCTCTAGTAATACACACATTATCAGTTCTTGATGGTTGCTCTATATATTTTTTTATATATAGCAGGAAACTCTCTAAGGATATATATCCATTAGATAAACAAGTCTAAATTGAAAACAACATTCAAACCTATGATTGCGTTGGATAAAAACTGCATTTTTTTTACATGTGAATGCAAAACAAATTTCTTGGTAGAGGGGTCTAAATACAGCACAAAAAACATTTTCCCAAAAAACAAAAAAAAGTGAAAAAGTATATTTTAACAAAACCCATTTGATGAGCAGATCGAACAATGGATGTTCTTAAACCCTGTTGACTGCCATTGGCAATTGCCAAATAAACGGATCACCGGATGTAACAAAATGGATCTTAATTATCAATTTAATACCAAACAGAAAACAAGAAACTTGTGGAAAAGATGGTATATCACAAAAAACTAAAGGTGCAAAAATTAGTACATCATATCTGGATATCGACAATTAATGTCTTTTCAGTGATGTTAGGAATCAAAAAGGTATTTGGAAGGCCATATAATTTACCTCAATTTAGGATAGACTCTTGAATTTTGAAGAGTCTAATATTAAGGATGAACGGATCATATAAACCCGAATGCAAATATAATACAAACCCAAACGAAAAAATATAAACAAGTCTAAATTGAAAACAATGTTCAAACCTATGATTGCGTTGGATAAAAACTGCATTTTTTATATGAATATTTATTTAGTGTCTTTTTTTTTTCCACAGAAAGCTGGAGAAGTATTAAGAACTTTGCTACGTGTCTGTGAATTAATTTAGTGTCTGTATTTTTTTCCACAGAAGGCTGGAGAAGTATTAAGAACTTTGCTACGAGTCTGTGAATTAAAGTCTGACCCTTACAGTACCGTTACTAATGCTGTCACATTAACTGAGGTAAGATAACTTTACTACATGTCTGTGAATTAAAGTCTGACCCTTACAGTACCATTACTAATGCTGTCACATTAACTGAGGTAAGATAACTTTACTACGTGTCTGTGAATTAAAGACTGACCCTTACAGTACCGTTACTAATGCTGTTATATTAACTGAGGTAAGATAACTTTGCTATGTGTCTGTGAATTAAAGTCATGCCCCATACAGTACTGTTACTAATGCTGTTACATTAACTGAGGTAAGATAACTTTGCTACGTGTCTGTGAATAAAAGTTTTGACCCATACAGTACTGTTACAAATGCTGTCACATTAACTGAGGTAAGATAACTTTGCTACGTGTCTGTGAATTATAGTCTGACCCTTACAGTACCGTTACTAATGCTGTCACATTAACTGAGGTAAGAAAATTCAAGGTCAATGATGTTCAAAAATAGGATACTGTGGATTCATTTATTTTTGTGGGTACCAATTTTTAGACGACCGCAAATTTTGCGGTCGTATTTTGGGATCACGTCGGCGGCATTGTCGTTGTCAGCTTCATCTGAAGAAATTTGGTTTTCGGACAATAACTTTAGTATAAGTAAATAGAAATCTATGAAATTTAAACACAAGGTTTATAACCACAAAAGGAAGGTTGGGATTGATTTTGGGGGACATGGTCCTAACAGTTTAGGAATTAGGGGCCAAAAGGGGGCCAAAATAAGCATTTTTCTAGTTTTCAGACAATAATTTGTGGAAAGGTGTATGGATCTCTCTGAAATTAGACTACAAGTTTCCATACCACAAAGGGATGGTTAGGATTGACTTTGGGGGGTTATGGCTCAAACCGTTTAGGAATAAAGGGCAAACAAGGGTTTCCTGGTTAATGGACAATTACTTAAAATTACAATGTTATGTTTGGAATACCTCCCTTACACTGCTTTTAAATTATGTTTAAAGAAATGTTGTATTGTCTTGAGGTAATTAGCTGTCAATTTATTTTTAGAAGTTACTATTAAATGCTGATTAAGGAATATTAATTAAAGCAAAAAATTGAATTTAAATTCAAAACATTTAACCAATTCTAAGTTCTTTGACTACAGTTATTCTGTGTCAGAAACCTATTATGTGTCAAATATTTAATTACAATCCAAATTCAGACCTGTATCAAGGGCAAATATTGTGTCCATTTTTGCCCCAACTGTTCAGGGTTGGACCTCTGCGGTCGTATCCAGCTGCGCTTGGCGATTCAATTTATTGTGGATTGCAGAAACCTTGCATTTTCGTGAATATGTGATATTGGGGTTCTGCCAAAGTCTGGATACAACTTTATAGAAATTTGTATTTTGTTGAACAATTAAATTTGTGGTTCAACTGTATCAATGAAACCGACGGAAATTGGTATCCAATGAATAATAGTGAATCAACAGTATCCATTCTTTATTTGTTTATGCTTTGCATTCAATAGCAGGGACCGTTATGTTTTCTGCTCTGTCTCTCCTTTTTGTCTGCATCTGTCATTTTCCTAAGTCACATCAAATGAAACTTCGCAAACATGTTCATTACAATGTGGATGTGGAAATTTATGTCATATAAACTTTTTGATGCAGATTCAGTGGTTCGGCTTAATATCAGGTTAATGTTTTGGTTAAATGTACTCTACCATGATGTTGTGGTTACATCATCTTTAATCTTAGTACACACATAAAAAAAAAGAAGATTTGGTATGATTGCCAATGAGACAACTCTCCACCAGAGACCAAATGACATAGAAGTTAACAGTTATAGGTCACCTAAGGCCTTCAACAATGAGCAAGACTCATACCTACCTTAGAAATATTTTAACAAAATCATAAGTCATGCACATGGAAAGTGGTATCAAACATTGTTTTATACTAGACAACAGTAACACAGAAAATAAAAGAAATAAAAACCAGTTACTGACAATAAACTCAAAGTACTTAACCTGCTCCTCTAGTTAAATTTTGTACACCTATGTATAGCTACACAATTAAAAATCAAACAGGAATGTTTTTTTTTAGTTGATGCTTCATATTAAATGACAAAGATTTGTATCTCTGTTTGGGAGCACATTTTATTTGTCTGCCATTTCTGGACATCTCATGCATTCCTGAAAAATGTTCATATCACAAGAGAAATTGCCTAATGCCACAATGGAAAAGTGATTGTTGTATGACATCAATATATCAAGTATTGCAAAATCTTGAGTCAAGGTGCCCCTAAAATGAAGGTCTATAATAAAATGAAATTAGAAATGAACAAGGAGATTTGCAGTCTTTGGCAACAGTTTCATTTTCTTATTACATTTCGTCATATACTAATTATATTTATGAACCTATTTATGAACCATACACTTATATTTATGAACCTATTTATGAACCATACACTTATATTTTTCACCTATGTATTTAGATATTTAATGCATTACCAAAGGACTTTGGACTGACCAGGAAGTTACTACAGATTTATTTGTCTATGATTAGTGAAGATTCTGTAAGTAGGCATAATATACTGTCATTGTGCATTCATTGATTTTGTGAGTACCAATTTTTGAGGATTTAGGAAAAATTGTTTGTTCTGAACATTTGATTTCATTATTTTGCCAAAGTCTACACAAGCTTATATAAAATTTGATTTATTGGGTACACCCAGGAATCCTCAAAAATAATATCCCTTGAATAACCATGAATCCACGGTAAATGATCTTGATAGATCATTGAAATGCATTTGATGTATGTAATAAGCTAAATAAAGTATCCTTTGAAAAGATATATGTGGGATATAAGTCAATGAGAGAATAACCCAATACATTGTACAACACAATAAAAAGGGACCTTTGAAACAGTAAATTGATTTTATTATAGCATATATATAAGATGTTTGATTTGAGGAAAATGGACAAACTTTTTTTACAAAAGTATTTTAAAGTAACTAAGCACTAAAGATTATTATATTAGTGGATTATGATGCATTCAAACAGAGTAGAATTTTCTTCTTGTTTGGAAGTGATATATTTTCTCAAGATTCATGTTAACAAGAAAACATGTGATTTCAAGTTTTCCTAAAGGCTTAATATTAGAGAAGTTTAAATGTTATATTTTATTAATTTTTGCTTGATCACACACACAGTTTTTCATTATTAATTATTCTTGATGTATTTTTATATTCTAGACATGTTTTATAAGTAAAGTCGATGAAAGTGGCGGAGGAATGTATGTTGTCAGTATCCTTTATACTTCTTCTTCATATAACGATCGTGACAATGGCGACTTTTAAGATAAGGAAATAAAGTGGTTTTTTTTGTGATTTTAAATTTTCATTAGTAACAAATGCTGGGGGATTTTTTTTCAAAATTTTATGACATTCATGTATTCAGTCAGGAACCTGATGTTCAGTGGTTGTCGTTTGTTGATGTGGTTCATAAGTGTTTCTGGTTTCTTGTTTTTTATATAGATTAGACCGTTGGTTTTCCTGTTTGAATGGTTTTACCCTAGTCATTTTTGGGTTCTTTTACAGCTTGCTGTTCCGTTTGAGACAATGCTCCATGTTGAAGGCCGTACTTTGACCTATAATGGTTTACTTTTACAAATTTTGACTTGGATGGAGAGTTGTCTCATTGGCACTCATACCACATCTTCTTATATCTATATATCAATTTGACAAAATGTTTGTGTTTTGATTATTGAAAAGTAGAAAAATAAAATTGTTTAGGAAGAGGGCACTGTTGATTGGTTATTGGTTAGTGATGAAAAGGTAAAAGGTTTGATATCTCCAGGAAACAGATTGTGATTTTTTTGTGAAGATTTCTGGCAGAATCCCATCTGATTTTATCATACATGTATATACATATAAACTGCAATTAGACAGAGCTATGTCTTGATTGTAATAATAAGCAAACTCATTAAAATTTGTCTCTGAATTCCAAATGGCTTTAAACTGTAGTCATTCTGGCTCAAAAGACAAGACAAGTAAAAATCAGAGATCTTTATGGAAATTCTATAATTTGTTTGGAGATGATTGATCTCAAATCTACATCTGAAACCATTGTACATGTATTTAAAAATCTATTTAAAACATTACTTGATTTATTTTGGTGCACATATAGGAAATTGAAGAGTTAAAAGATTATTGCTTCAATATTAATGAATTGCTGATCTAAGCATAGACATAGAATCAATATGATACGAAAAGGACATATTTACATTGGTTCAACATTGACTGGATGAACTTGTTATTAGCTAATAGTTATACAGACTGGACCTATTAAAGTTGATGCCACTTACAAAGACAGAATCTAGGATCACTGTGTCTAGCTTTGGTGACATAAATGACGTAGGTTCAACGAAAATACATCAATGATTGAAATACATAGCCAATATGATACAGAGTTCAGACATAAAAGGCCTTACATTAAAGTAGATACGTTTTTTATGACATTTAAGTAGAAACTTTTTTTATGTATAATCCATAACTTTTTTTATGAAAAGTTGTAACAGCTTAAATTTATTTTGATCCTGAATGAATTTATTAAACCAGCATTTATTTTTTAACATATAAGCTGCATCTGATAGAAGTCGACCTTATGCAAATTAATATCAATACATATGTTAACCTATTTTGAGTTGAAAAAATTTCCAAGTAACTGTTTCAAAATTGAGCTGCTATAAGAAAATCTACTTAACAGACCAAAATTCATCTTTTATTACACATTTAAATGTTCCAAAATCAATCGAATTCATGTACATGTATACATGAACTTACATAAGGTTGATTTATATCCAACGCAATGCATATAATGATAGATAGGTTAGATGAAACAAGCATTTTATCCCTTAACAGAACTAGATATATATAAAGCATTAACTCAAATAGCTACCTCTCATTTGGAATCTGTTGTATTAGAAAGGTAAGTTAAAATAGACATTAGACAGAGAAGATACCAAGGGGCATTTGAAAATCACATGTCCCGTAAAAACTGACATAGCAGACCAAAAATATTAAAGAACGAAAAGACAAACAAAAATAACACACATCATATAGAAAACTAAAGACTGTGTTAAATTGTTAACATATACTTTTTGAATAAAAAGAAATATAAAGTGAGTGCTTAAAAATGATATTAGACACTATATCTAATGTATGCCAATAGATACTGCATTTGTTGCATATGCTAACATTTAAATTTTTTTTCCACAAATAGAAGTCTCAAGCATAAAAATATGAAGAAAAAAATGACATAAAAATATGTGTACAAGAATTTCAAATGGAAAAATTGCTGAATTTTTTGTTTCCATTCTCTAACATAAGTTTGCCTCAACCAATGCAAATGTCATGAATCTTATATACAATGCTCATTACCACAAACATCTGATCCAGTTTGAATTTTGGTGGAGTCACTTTTACTGTTCTGGAGTTATGCCTCTTTACAAATGAAAAAAATGCTGAATTTTTTTGTTTCCATTCTCTAACTTAAGTTTGCATCAACCAAATGTTATGAATCTTGTACTCAAAACAATGCTTATTACCACAAAACTCAGATCAAGTACAAATTTGGGTAGCGTCACTTTTACTATTCTAGAGTTATTTCCCTTTAAAACATTATATGCAGAAGAGGGCATTATGTGTGTCCCATGGACACATTCCCTATTTATTTTTTATAAATCATTGTTCAAAAGCTTCAGTTAGTTTAAAATGCATTTATCACTTCTTTTGCAGGTTTGGATCAAAATGTCTGCGAATATTTAGAGTACTATTGTTGAAAAAGCATGTAGAGCAAAAGCAGGTTAATGTACTTTAAAGTAGTGAAATATAAAATTTTTAGAATTTGAAGGAGAAAACCTAGTTGGAACTTGTAATTTACACATTTTTCTTGTACCTGATTCTGATTTTCCTTAAAGATGAAATTTAGGCAAAGGTCAAATTTATGAAAAGAATGCCCTTGTAAAAATCAAATATTGTTGTTACATGTATGTAGTTTCACACATCTTTGCTAGCCCATGGTTCATACCTGCTCATCTTCACCCTTAGCTGATTAAGTTAGACATGTGATCCATGTAATGAAGAGTAGCAGGTCGGAGCATAACCCTTGGCTAGCGAAGATGAGTTTTACAAGAAGGGCATGATTTATTTTAATCAAGTTCTGTGTAAAAAAATCATTATTTATGGGTCATTTATTTTAAGGACCAATAGCAAAAAAGAATTTTCGATTAGTATATAACATTTTATCTGGTCTAGAGTTGCTTTAACTTAGATTTAGATATTAATGTACATTTTTTTTAAATTTTAGATTGAAGATTTTGCAATGATCTCAGCAAAAGAAGCTAAGGAACTATTGTATAATATGTTTTCCCAGAAATTTATAACCACATCAGTAAGTTTGAAATATAGGAAGCTATTAGAAACATAGAAAACTGTCTATAAACTAAACCCTGCATAAAGAAGAAAATTCTGAAGTTGAACTCTTTTATTGCGACATTAGACATAAAATGAGGAGCTTTTTGTCAACTGATCATGGGTCAATCACAAAATAATGAGCTTCAAAAGTGAGGAAAACAATTTTTATACAACCACAAAAATAATACCGCAATTTTTGCGGTCGTATATTGTTATCAAGTTGTCGTCGTTGTCCTTAGACACTTGGTTTCCGGACAATTACTTTAGTGTAAGTAAATGGAAATCTATGAAATTTAAACACAAGGTTTATGACCACAAAAGGAAGGTTGGGACCGATTTTGGGGGTTATGGTCCTAACAGTTAAGGAATAAGGGGCCAAAAAGAGGCCCAAATAAGCATTTATTTAGTTTCCAGACAATAACTTGTGTTTAAGTGTATTGATCTCTCTGAAATTATACACAAGTTTCTATACCACAAAGGGATGGTTAGGATTGGCTTTGGGGGATATGGCTCAAACCGTTTAGGAATTAGGGGCAAAAAAGGGGGTAAAACAAGGGTTTCCTGGTTACTGTACAATTAAGACAATTTAAAAGCAGTGTAAGGGAGGTAATCCAAAACACATATTGGGCATGCTGCTATCTGAAAAAATTGACTGAGCTGAACTTTTAGTGCTGTTTTAAAATGCAAATGACCATAAAGTAAAGAACTTTTCAACTTTTTTCAAAGAGCTGAATTTACGCAGAATTTAATTGGGCATATAATTTACGCAGAATTTAATTGGGCATATATTGGAATTATTCACCATGCCAATCCATATCATGAATTTTGCAATGATGAACTACAAAGCTAATATAGGCTTTGATTCAGGTGAATTAAGTTTGACTTAAAATATGGTCATTGAGCTTATAAAATGCATGCAAATATTAGGCTAGCTTTAAAATACATACAAACGATTGCCTGGAAGAATTATACATGAAACTGCAAAAAAGAAGGAAATGTTTACTTTAAGTTACATGTTTTTTCTTCATATGGAGTAGAAAATGTTTGATAAAGAGAATACCTGTGATGACCATACCTTGTCAAGGATGTCATGTGAGCAATTGAAGCTCTTTGAAGTCGCTATTAAAAAGAAATGCAACAATATTTGAGATTTCTGAAAATTCTGATAATTTAAATAATACCTACATTGATATTTTATATAAAAAAATATCTGGTTGCAATTAATGTTACGCTTACCTATAGGAGATAGCCAAAACCCCAGATCATGCTCCATCTAGAACATTCTATCTGTTTAAAGTAGATATACATAAACTGGCTCAGCATGTACTAGAAAGATCTTATAAGGTAAGTAAATAAGATATAAGTTAAATATTCAAACCTATTACTTAAGTTTTAGCTCATCTGGCCCACAGGGTTGAGTGAGCTTTTCTCATCACTTGGCATCGGTTGTACATCGTCCGTTATATTACCAAAATCTTCTCTGAAACTACTTGGCCAAATTTAACCAATCTTGGCCACAATCATCATTATGGTATCTTGTTTTTAAAATGTGTCCAATGACCCTGCCTGCAGATCAGCATGGCTAAAAATAAATCATAAGGGGTAAAATACAAATTTGTCTAAAAAAACACTATAAATAGAGAAATCTGACTAGGGTGCAGAAATGTATAGAATGTTGAGATCTACCCAATGTTCATTTACCACAATTGGCCTTGTAAAGTCAAAACTGGTAAATTTTCCGCACCTGGGGAATTTAGGAAAAAAACTTTTTGTCACTTGTTGAATATGTATTGTGGAACTCCAGTAATTTCAAAGGGTGTGTGATCGTTTACGGTATGGGTTTTCCATCATCAAGTAGAAGTTGAAAATGCTTGTAAATGATTCTTGAATGCTTTAAAAGTGTTGAAATAAGACAAAATCACAGGAAAAACAATTGTAAAAATTATGGGGTTGATATTATCTAGAAACAATCTAGAACGTGTAAATCTCAAACATACAATGTATACAGTAAGAGTGTGCAGAAAATCTGTACTTATAGATATCACTTAAGAATACAACTTTGAAATTAAAACAGTCGCTTCCTTTAGTGAAATACTGTCATATATATTCATTACATTAATGTTTGAAGGACCATTGCTAAAACAAAACACATGCAGCAGTATGAAACACCAAAACAGAACAAATAACTGATCACGTTTTGTAGTTTTTTACATTGTTATGCATAAGCTGGTGTCCAGGTGACTTCTTCATTTTTTTTCGTAGCCTTGTGAACTTGTATTTCAAGTGATGCAATGCTAGCGAAAGAAATTAGAAATTTGTAACAAAGTATTTGATTTTGATATGTATCTGTTAATATTGGATTTTGAAATAAAAATTGCATATTAATATGGTTTAGGTAAATTATTATTTTGAAAAATAATATGGGCGCCCTCTACAATTTCAATAACAAACATGGTTGAATGTAAACGGCTTTGGAAATTTGTTTCTGTATCTGTATCTGTATTGATACGTGTAGAATACTATTTTAGCTTTTATTACCTATCAATCTGTATTTTTTGCAAATACCCTTTGTAAGCATGATATATTTGTACAAAAATACAGAAGGTACTGCATATATAAGGTTATTCAAATGTTTAGCCATTCAAAATTAAACAAGGTTTTCAGACAGATTTAAATTTGTGACCTATGACAACCACCAATACTATCTTCCAGGATAACTAAAGATATGTACCACTTTAGGTTGTTATATAATTCAGAAAAAGTGGGAAATTTTAAACTATTAGCTTTTATAGAAACTTTGGGTTCAAGGTCAATTGAATATGATTTAGAAGGGTATGCTTTATTGATCAGTGATTAGAATTATGTAACTAAGACAGGCACTTAATTCTGGGATAGTGGTGTAACAACACAACATAAGAACACACTGTAAATATCTGTCTTCTTTGATTCATGGTCTTTTTAACTTCAAAAGTTTTAAAACAAAAAGAATATCGACGTTAAAGGTTTTTTGTATAGGGGTACTTTCTCTTTGACATATACTGTGGATTTATTTATTTTCGTGGGTACCAAATTTCGTGGATTGAGGAAAATGCGCATTTTGGTGGGTTTTTGATTTCGTGGTTTAGCCAAAGTCTGCATATAACCTGATAGAAAATTTGTAATTTGTTGAACATTTAATTTTGTGGTTCACCTGTACCCACGAAATCCACAGAAATTGGAGTCCAACAAAAAATAATGAATCCACAGTACCCCACATCTCCTTATATACTTTATATTTTACAAGGTAATTTTTTATCTTTCAGAAATTACATAAATTACTACCAAGAGTATTATGCTTTCTACACATTTGTATTTCAATAATTCGTAAGCCAGTGAGAAAATGTGTCAGAAATGGTAAAATGTGTTCACTACAAGAAATAAAAAGATTTTAAATAACATATATACAACCAAGTTTTTGATACTTACCTTTAAACTATCAAAGGTATAAGTATTGCAGTTATCATTTTAAATTTAGTGTTTTATTTGAAGTAAATGTTTTAATTTTTTTGCAGGCAATGTATAATGCAATGTTAAGAAAAGACAGTGAATTGACAGAACATAGGTTAGTTTATATATAGATCTAAGTAAAGACCTGGCATATATTTCCATTATTGAATATAAATTATTTTCATCAGGGGCGGATACAGGATTTTAGGTTAGGGGGGGGGGGGCGCAAACTTAAATTTTCTTGAGGTAAAATTATCGAAATATTATCGAAATATTCTTTATTAAGCTGAGGACAACCCATGCTTTACAAATTTTAGGGGGAGTGCACGCCCGCCATGCCCCCGCCTGAATCCGCCCCTGTTCATGTCATCATTATACATGTTACTCTAATATAAACCACTAGTCAAAGTAAAAAGTAGTGACCATGTGAGATTGGTTGTACATGGAATGGTCAAAGATAAATCAGGATCAATTTTTTTGGATGAAGTGTAATAAGAATGAAAAGGAACAAAGTTAATCAAATTATTTCTTACCTCTTTTTCAGATTTTTATATAAAAGAAATGAGTAGGTTGTGTGAAAACCTTGAAAAAATATTTTTTGTAAATCCATGATTTTAACATATTTGTATGAGTTATATATTCTTTGAGAAAACATTTGCCACAATATCTGATTAAAATGTGATTTAAAGATAAATGCAGATAAGATAAAGATGCTTGCACTCAGAAAAAATTCTTTTAGCTATAGAATGTGTCCAATGTTTCCACAATACAAAAAAATTATTTAGAAATAACTCTGTATGGGTGACAAATATGTTAAATTAGATTCTATTTTCATAGTTCATTATAAGTGAGATAATACTGTGGATGTACCAATTATCAGATATTGTAAAATATCAGCTGCGAGTCACAATATGAAGCTTTTTGTAGAGTGAGCGCAGCGAATGAGTTTAAAAAGGCTTCAAATTGTGTCGAGCAGCTGATTTTTATTATCATACTTTTCTGTGCCTATATCACCCTGTTCAGTTGCTCCCTAAGTCTGTCATAGATTTGTGTTGTTAGAAGAGCATTTAAAAGCGATGTCACAATATGAAAGGAGAAGTTATCAGTGACATCACAATATCAGAGCAGAAAATTTCATGCTTACTTCCTGTAGGACAACCAAAAGTATAAATTTCTAAGCTAGCTATAAAAAAGCTTCTGGGCACATTGTGAGTCCCAGCTGATATTTTTTATATCAGTGTGCAGAAAATATGATGATCTATAGTTTTTCATGTGGTGTTTTATTTTTCCTGGTTTAAGGTGGACCACTAGTTTAAATGTTAACAAAACACATATTTCCTTAAAACATGTATGCAGAATATTTGTTTTAACCTAAAAACTTCAAGTGTCCACTATTTTTTCTACATTCACATGAATTGGTAGCAATGAAAATAAATGAATCCAAAGTATATATTTATATATATCAGTACACATATTTTCTGCAAATATGATACCAAAGCACATTTTCAAAGATATACCCTTAAACTACATTTAAGATACAAATATATTTACAGGAGGTTACTCGATAAGCAAGAGAGGGTAGATGCAATAATTGCCTCCATTGAGCAGGCAGGAGGAGATGATGCACAGAAAGATGAAATAGAACAGACCATTACACCCACAGAGAGGGATCAGATAAACACAGTTAAAAGGACTGTTCAAATGTAGGCATATATTTTTACCTTATACAATGTATTTCAGTCTATATTATCAGACATTTAAAACTAGGAAAAAAGAAGCACATATATTTTTTTTTGTTTTCAAATCTATATTACATCTATGTGTAGATAGGTAGCCAAATCATTGAAGTATTCCAAATATCACTTTTTAGCTCACCATACTCATAGGAAGTATATGTAATATCACTTTTTAGCTCACCTTGATCATAGGAAGTATATGTTATATCACTTTTTAGCTCACCTGGCTCATTGATAATTTCTACAGGAAAAAAAAAATCAATAAATTGTATGATTGTTAGTACAAAGTGAGTTTCCTACTGTGTATATAAAAAATGATTCCTATGATAATGCAGTTCAATATTTTATTTATTTCAATATTTTATTTACATTTTACCTTATGCTTACAATTTATACACAATACAATTTAAAAATATACATTATTTTTCTATACATAAGCCAAGCTGTACAGATTTATGTGAGATGTTAACAACTAAAACAACATGTATTTACATTAAGAATAAAACTTCAATGATAAAAATATACAGCATAATTGTGATATTATTTACAATGATATTTGCAAGTAATGTCTGAAAAAAAAATTTATACATAGGGATCCAATACTTTTAACTGTCAAATATATATTAAATTAAACTCCATATTTTGATAGACCATAAAATTGAGAATGGAAATGGGGAATATGTCAAAGAGACAACAACCCGGCCAAAGAGCAGATAACAGCCGAAGGCCACTAATAGGTCTTCAACGCAGAGAGAAAATCCCGCATAATACTTAGATATTATTGATCAAAACATTTAGTCTTGTATTTTAAACATTACATAGAAATATGTCATGTTTGTGTTTATAATTTAAATTTAAAAAAACTCCATTCCCAGCTATATTGCATTCACCTTGTTTGTCCTTTTGCTCGTCAGTTTGTCAATTTATCGAGCAATATGAAATAGAACAGACAATAATAACCACCGAGATAGATAACAAACTAAGAAGGTTTGAGATAAAAGTGATGATTCAAGTATTAGCTGTCTTTTTTATTTAGATAAGTATTTTTAAAAACCATGTACATGTTTTCTTTTTTTTATTACAGGTTGGAAACCAGTGAGATTCAGATTGATGACACTATGTTTGTATTAGAAATGTACCTATTTTATGCAAATCAAGACAGACTATTAAAATGTACACATAAGAAAAAATAAATTTAGTATCTGATTTGTATTTGCTTTTAAAGAAAGAACACATGGCAACGAAGAAACATAATAAATTTTACCATAATTTTGAAAAACTGTTTAGGGATTTTCCATTAAAACATCTATAATATCAAAGGAAGGCACTTTGAAAATGGGGTAACAATTTATACAGGCAATTTTACAATTCTCCAAATAGTCTTTAACACCCACCCATAGTTGCGATTTTCAAGTTCCCATCATGAGATCCATGTTTAATTTTATGTAATAATTCTTACCATGGAAGAAAAAGAACAGGTCACAGAATTGAATTGAAATTAGCAATGATTTTTAGCTCTCATATCCTGAAGGCCATGTGAGCTTTAAAATGTCATCACTTTGCATCTGTGGTCCTTTCGTCTGTTGTGTGAAAACTTTTCTTTAAAAATCTTTTCCTCTGAAACTACTTCATGGATTGAAACATGGCTACAATTTCTAAAAATATTAAACCGGGGTCAAACTACAGTTTGGCTAATATCTCTAAAGCAATTAAAGAAAAACTGATAGGGTAAAAATGGTCAGCATAATAAGTCCTATCCTATTCAGAAAACTTTGGAAAAATCTGTCCACATGTTTTGGAGTTTATCGCCACTGAAATATTAATTTTTTAACCTTTTGGGGCATTTCCTTACCTTTGTTTCAAAAACTTTAGGAGCTAGGTTAAAAGTATAAATTGCATGAATTATAAATGCTCAGCATGACAAGATGAATCAACTTTATAAATTGAAAAAAAATTGTGTCAATCTGTTTTAAAGTTATTGTCCATGAAATGTTGATTTTTACTAGTTTTTTTTGCAATTTGGCTGTTATATAAACAACTATAGGCATTATGTTTACATGTAAATTACAAAAATTATCAGCAACTCGAAGAGTAACAATGAAACATGCATATGAAAGTCGTTATTAGAGCTGTTGATTGTTTTCACCAGGCGAGATATACAGGCACACATGTGTGCCTCTTTGTACCACGTGAAAATAAACAAAAAAGTTAAGAAGTCATTTCCCCAGAATCTTGCATTGGTCATTTATACAGAAATGCAGACTAAGCTATAATAAAGTTATCACAAAATGGGATGCTAATCTGTCAGCAGCTATGACAATATAAACTATCTGTATCAAGCTTTAAATATTAGAAGGAAAATTAGTTTGATAATCCATTTCTTGTATACACACTCTCTCATAATACAGATGCTGTATGGTCTTTTCCATTTGGCATGCCTGGCTCAGCTGTCTTTAACCTTATATTCATGATTTTTATGACTGCATAATAAAACTATATACTTGATTGTGTGATCCTGTTGGACAATCATGTTTATTATAATAGATTGTAAAAATAGTTATTGCAATCCAATTAGTTATAGAAACTGACTTCAATGGGGAATGATTTTATATTTTGTCTCCAGTTTCATATGTTGAGTTGTTGCAGGTAAGCAATTTTTACATTTGCCATGCAGCCACTTCCCGTTTGTTGATAGTTTTAAATTTGCACTCATTGTACAATGAAAATTTGTCATCAAAGTTTTCTTGGCTTTAATGAAAGGGAATGATCAGTTATGTTTCAGTATAATGCCTTGGTGAAGCCTCAGGGTTGACTGATGTATAGAAATGTGATCATCCATTGACAGCTGTTTGGCAGTAAAATCTATGTTAAAAGGGAACATCTGGTTGTGCAAGATGTATAAATACACAGACACATCCAGTCTGAAATTGGGACCTTTAATTGGATGTGTCATGTAGGGAAAGTGCTACCCTCTCTGCACATTTAAATATACTTGAACAACTCTTTAAGGTTGCATAGTGTGAGTCATTATTTCCGCCCTTATCAAACATTAATTTTTTATAGTACCAGTCAAGATTCCTACCTTTCATCTCGGTCTACCCACTTAGCAGAATCTGCATTAACTGTTAATTTGTTCTCATCCTGAATATACATGAAATATTTGCCAAAGTATCACTGGCATCTTTGCCTCCGCATGTGTTCCCAAACCTGTTTTCAGAAAAAATCTGCCATTTATTTTAGTGGACAGATGCATGTTTAATTTTATGCAGTTACTGTCTTTAGGTGAGGTTAATGTGTGGATTTATTGACTTGACTAAAGTCAATTACACCACATATTAACCGAAAAAAATGACAGTAATTGTTTTATTCCATATTTTGAGAGCGAAAAAATGTATTCAATGACAATTATTTCTGTATCAAAACGAATTGTATATCAAACATTTTACCATAGTTATACATGTAAAAGCATGTGACACTAAGCACTTTTCTTCGGGTGAATATATAGATATATATATAGATTCTACAACTGTCTCGAGTGTGATACGACATTTGTCCACTCGAGACAGTTAAAATTTTAATTTCAGACTCGCCGAGCGTTGTTTTATATATAGAAAGTCCCTGTCTTAGAGTGGGAAAATATCGTATTGAACGATATTTAGTGTTATAATCTGTTTCATGAACTCATGTATTCCGCTTTAAATTGATGTGATCACTACATCGTGTCTTATTACCTTTAATCAAAATTTTAGCCTGAAGTCTGTTGAACTGTCCAGTATTTTTAGTGTTATTCTTTTAATGTAATGTAAGGTAAGTTAACCATAGACAATTTTGCTTGTATGATGCAAACATTTTAGCTCAACTGGCCCAAAAGATCAAGTGAACTATTCTTGTCACTTGGCGTCCGCAGTCGTCGTTCGTCATTAGATAACTTTTACTGAAATCTTTTCTGAAACTACTAGGCCAATTTGAACCAAACTGCTATAGATGATATGGGCATAAATGTTCAGAATGTTTGTCATATGACATCTTACAGGAGGTTTTGCCCTTTAATGACAAATTTTACCAATGTTTGGAAAGATTGAAACTTGTTCCAATTCTTTCCTGAGGCACCGGCCTCCTAAACAGAAAGTAGCAAGAATATTATATAGTAAATCTATCCACACTGAAAAATAGTTCCCAATAATTCCCATGTCTGTGTACATATGAACTGTGAAAGTTTTAGGTAATATCTTTATAGCAGTTCATTCAAGTATGTATTTTTAAGTTTTGTCAATCTGCTGGCTAGTTTGGTCATTTTTAGTAGATAAGAGTACTGATACAATACCAGTTTAATTGACATCTGTCATTATCAACAAACAATCATGAAACAAGGTGGGTCCTTTATTGGAATGTTCAACCCTCCTATATGCCAATGATATTGATCAAATGACTTATTTACTTCATTCTTACATAATTCAGCAGATACATAGCTCAATACACAATTGTATGATGTTTGATTTATAGAAATGATATATTTAATTATTTACTTATATCTTTTGATCTACACTACATAAAATGATTGTTTAAATAAAATTATCATATATACAAGGATTAAAGTTTTGTAAGCCAGGTGCGTGTTTCGTCTACAGATGACTCATCAATGATGCTCGAATCAAAAAAGTTAAAAAGTCCAAATTAAGTACAAGTTGAAAATCATTGAGGACCCAAAATTCCGGAAAGTTTTGCCAAATAAAGCTAAGGTTATCTATTCCTGGGGTAGAAAATCCTTAGTATTTCGAAAAAATTAAAAGCATTATGTAAACAGTTAACTTATAATTATGGCCCATATACAGTAATTCATGTCAACACTGAAGTGCTGACTACTGGGCTGGTAAATTATGTCTGAAAGATTAAAAGTTGAGGATTATCAATATCTGTTTTTTTTCAAATAAAAATATCTGGTTTTTTTTTCAAATAAAAAGTCAATATGTTTAATCTGTATATATAAAGATATTCAAGTGGGGTATATAAATACCAGCTAAATCAGTCCAATAACCATCTATTATCAATCAATAATTTAAGTTACAATCATCAGTGAATGTTCTGAAGCAATATGTAAAATTTGGAAACTCTAAACTTGAGCAAACCAATCTTTTTGTGTGTTTTCTCTCCATCAAATATCTGTTATCAATATAAGATTTCATATTTGAATACAGAAAGCAGTGAATGTTTTGCAATGAAGAATGAATTAGTTTCTTAATTTCTTCATGACAAAGAAGTACATTTTCAATGGCTTTATCTGGAAAATATGAAATTACAATAAATTAAAAGTGCACTCCACCATCATTTGAAAATCATCTTTCCATCCAAATTGGATATTAATGACATATTAAGAGAATCTGCACCTAATACATGTTCTAAATTTGCAATGTTAAAAGAATATACCTCAAAAATGAAAAATTCTCCATCTTTTGGCAATAGAAAAAAAAACAACTTTATGCATACATGATGCAAGTTTCTGAAATGAAAATTCCTGTATACCTCCCTTCAACTGTACATCTTCAGTGGCATTTAATTGTTTGCAAAACCAACAAGCAACAACTACAGGTGAAAAAAAGGTATACCTATGTTTCAACTTACAAAATTCCCCAAAACAACCTTTTCATGTAAATTTTGGGAGACAAATTTCTTAGTTTCAAGTCAATCTATTGGTTCCCTGTACATGTCCTACAATGATAATTGATAAATTTTATTAGACAATCTTTATAATAATGGTACTTTCTGCTGTTTCTAAAGATGAAAACACAAAACATGCAACGGGTAACATTTTTATATTAACATATATATATATATATATATCATGTAATTTTAGTTCTCAGGAACTTTTATAATATACTATTTTGTTCCATGCGGAACAAATATACAGTCACAGGATGTAACCTTCTAACTTCACTAATGAGTGTGCCACAATGCATACATTTTCCTTTGAAAGTATTTCCATTTTGAAAATCATCTGGAACAGTAAAATGTTCCAGTACACTCTTGGAGTTCATTTTGACATCTGATAAAAAGTTTTCATTCACCATTCATATATAGTGAACAATTTTTGAAAGTTAGATTTTGTCATATGTATATTTCCTTCAGGAGTTACATGTACCCAGAGGTATATTTATCTCTCTATAATTGGCTTAACACCTGTTTAACATGCAAACATGACTGTTGTTAAA